TCTCTCAAAAATAAATAAACGTTAAAAAAAAACTAAAAAAAAAATCCTACGGCAAATCTTGACACATTCGTCTTAGTAAGCAACCTGTATGTTTAGGTTCAGAGCATTTACCAGAAAAGCTGTGACCTGCTGTCTGTGAGGTGCTCCTAGGATCTGGTCCCCATGTGGGCCACTCAGCGCCGGTCTGAGACTCAGGAGTTCTAACCACAGCTTCATTCCCAGTCTTTGGTATGCTAATTAGAACCAGATTCGTGCACATACAAGTTGAAGATGAGCCCGGAGATCATAAACAGCTTTATGGGATGCCAATTTCTGAGCAACATCCCTCTTCACTATTTCTGGGTGCCTTCCATTTTCCTGGCTCTCTCCTTGTCACTCCTCCAGCCAGAAAGCACCCTGTCTCTAGGACGGTGCTGTCTCTGGGGACCAAGCAGCAGGAGGGAGGGAGAGAGAGAGAACGTAAACACAGCAGTGTTTGGCTCTGCCTTTTTGGAGCTACACCTTCACCAAATGGAGAGGAATGTCCCCTTCCCTGAGTCGTGGTTCCTGCAGTTTCTGTTGCTGGCCACCGTCTGCCGTTGCTACCCTTGCCGCGGAACTGACGGAACGGAGAAAGGCGTGGAAAATACCCAGTCTCTGAGCCTCCGGAGTTTCCTTTTCTGCTCCCTGGGCCAGATTCAGAGGGTTCCTCTTGGATCCCGGTCTTCACCACAGCGCTCACGTCCAAGTTCCAGGCCGTGTTGAGTTCAAGCTGGGACATACTGGAAAATAAAACAGAGCACTCCCCACCAGTTAGGTGGCATTGCACATTCTGGTGTTCTTCCCCGGAGCTGCCTGATATGTACTTTTCAGAGTTCCCAAATAGCTACATAGTTACAGACGTTATAGTTGTGCTCAGGCCAAGAAAATGGGGTTGGCGAACATGTACTCCTTCTTGTCTGGAAGAACTATTCGTAACCTGTTGGTATAAGTTTAATTTGCATTATAAGCAAGGTAGGTGTCGTTTATTTAAAATTTTTTAATGTTTATTTTTGAGGGAGAGAGAGAGAGGGCGCAAGTGGGGGAGGGGCAGAGAGAGGAGGACAGAGGATCCGAAGCAGGCTCTGCCCGGACAGCACAGAGCCCGACACGGGGCTCGAACTCACAAACCATTGAGATCTTGACCTGAGCCGAAGTCGGACGCTCAACTGACGGGGCCACCCAGGCACCCCAGTAGTTGTCATTTTTGGAAACAGGGGACCCAGGTTGGGATTGTATGATCATGTCCTTGATTTGATGATGGGCAGGGAACCCTGGGATAAGAGGTGGTGCAGGGCCCGGGGCAAGATGCTGTGGAGCTAACCTCGGTGCTTTTTGGGCTTTGTAGGCACCATGGCCGAGGAAACGGCCCCAGCAGTTCTGGAGCGGCACCAGGGCTCCCTGTACTCGCTCTTTCCTGACCACCACGTGGAAAAGTACTTTGACCAGGTGGACATCTCCAACGGTTTGGATTGGTCCCTGGACCACAAAATCTTCTATTACATTGACAGCCTGTCCTACTCCGTGGATGCCTTTGACTACGACCTGCAGACAGGAAAGATCTGTATGTACTTTTTCATTATTCTTTTTAATACTGCTGGTGAGTTTTTTTTTCCCCCTCTGTATGTAACCAGTAAGCTGCCTCTTCCTCAACTCGTCTGAAAAAGTCCTTATTTGGGAGGGGCGCCTGGGTGGCTCAGTCGGTTGAGCATCCGACTCTTGATCTCGGCTCGGGTCACGATCTCACGGTTTGTGAGTTCGAGCCCTGAGTCAGGCTCTGTCCTGACAGCGCAGAGCCTGCTTAGAATTCTCTCTCCTTCTCTTTCTGCCCCTCCCCTACTCATGCTCTCTCTAAATAAATAAGTAAGCTTAAAAAAAAAGGTCCTCACTTGTCAAATAAGGGTCTGTCTGGTGGTTACTATGCCAGTATAGTCACAATTACACAGACTTGACTATTTTTTCCAGTGAAGCCATGGCCCTCAACACAACTAATGGTGGCCGCCGTTGCAATAATATGAATAGATCCTTAATTCCCTTTCTTGCCACCATCTCTAGAAAGAGGCTCACCTTGAAATGGATCCTATCCTACCAGGATGTGCCTATAGGGAAGCAATACACAGGACAATGAGCTAAAGGAACAGAAAGTTAAGGTTTGGGGTTGAAATCTCTCACTTGCGCTTTAGTTAACCATAGGAAGCTACTCAGAGACAGATGAATAATCTTCCAAAATAGAGAAGTTTACAAAGTAGTTGCAGATTGTTCAATTCTGTCAATGGGTTCTACATGAGCCGTAGTTGGAAGCTGGGAGGGAAGGAGTTCTTGAGAAAAATCTAGAAGGGAGTGCTTGAAACTGTTTTGTGAAAGGTGCCAAACCACAAGAGCCAAACCCATAATGAAAATGACATGAAAAAAATCACAAGACTCTCGTATAATTTAACCAGAGGCAAACTATTTCAGTACTGATGTTTTTGCTCTGAAATATAAAGTGCTCTGTTTTATGACTGTTTTTACCCATTTTACTTACGCATTTTTTTATTTTTTTATTAAAAAAATTTTTTTAATGCTTATTTTTTGAGAGAGGGAGAGAGAGAGTGAAACAGAGTGCGAGCATGGGAGGGGGAGAGAGAGAGGGAGACACAGAATCGGAAGCAGGCTCCAGGCTCTGAGCTGTCAGCACAGAGCCCGACGTGGGGCTCGAACTCACAAACCACGAGATCATGACTTGAGCCGAAGTCGGATGCTTAACCGACTGAGCCACCCAGGCGCCCCTACTTACACATTTTTTTTTTAACTTTTTTCTTCCATTATAACCCAGTGCAGTTATTAGAATGATCTGGATTTCGTAGTTTAAAGTTCCTCTGGAGTTTCATGGTTTTTTTGTATACTGTGATTTCCCCTTTAATGCCAGCCAGTTAGTTGGCTTCAGAATACCTTTCCTTTCAGGAACAAGCTTTTTTTATGTTTTTGAATGTTTCTTTATTTTTGAAAGAGAGAGAGAGAGAGAGTGTCTGAGCGTGAGTAGGGAAGGGGCAGGGAAAGACGGAGACAGAATCTGAAGCAGGCTCTGTGCTGACAGCAGAGAGCCCGAGGTGGACCTCAACTCAAGAACCCCGTGAGATCATGACCTGAGCCGAAGTTGGATGTTTAACCGACCGAGCCACCCAGGCGCCCCAGGAACAAGCTCTTCAGTGTTTAGTTTTGATAAGATGATTTTGGAGCATTTGGCAGAAACAGAACTGGTACATCTTACTAGTTTTTGCACGTGAACTGTTCACATGGTACCATTATTTTTATAACCATAAACTGAAATGTATCAGGTCTAACCATAGACTGAAATGTATCTAAGATGTGCCAGAGCTTCAGTTCCGGCCAGCCTCAAAGAGAACTATTGGTATTTTATTAAGAATTCTACTTTTTGGAGCACCTGGGTGGCTCAGACAGTTGAGCGTCCAACTTCGGCTCAGGTCATGATCTCATGGCTCGTGAGTTTGAGCCCCGCATGGGGCTTTCTGCTGTCGGTGTGGAGCCCCCTTCGGATCCTCTGTCCCCCTCTCTTTCTCTGCCCCTCCCGTACTTGCAATCTCTCTCTCAAAAATAAATAAACATTAAAAATTTTCTACTTTTTTTCTCTCCTCCTCTCAAAGCTTAGACAGATAGGTCTGTACCCAAACCAAAGAGAGTATGATCATCCCCAAATCATGTGGTAAAAATCCTTTGTTGAGGAGTGCCCACTTACATTTCTGGACATTTTTGTTTTTTATTATCTATTTAATTTTTAAAGTTTATTTATTTTGAGAGAGACAGAGCATGAGTTGGGGAAGGAGAGAGGGAGAGGGAGAATCTCAAGCAAGCTCTGGGCAGCCAGCACAGACCCAGACACGGGGCTTGAACTCACGAAACCACGAGATCATGACCTGATCCGAAACCAGGAGTCAGATGCTTAACCAACTGAGCCACCCAGGCACCCCTGGACGTTTTTGTTTTAAAGTTATGAACTCTTGGGCACCTGGGTGGCTCGGTCGGTTGAGCCTCTGACTTCAGCTCAGGTCATGATCTCGTGGCTCGTGGGTTTGAGCCCTGCATCGGGCTCTGTGCTGATGGCTCAGAGCCTGGAGCCTGGTTTGGATTCTGTGTCTCCCTCTCTCTCTGCTCCTCCCTCAGTCATGCTGTCTCTCTCTCCTTCAAAAAGAAATAAACATTAAAAAAATAATAATAAAAAATAAAGTTATGAGCTCTTCTGAATCATCTCACATGCCAGACCCTGACTAAGCAAACGTGATCAGGATTTACAGTCAGCTTGAGCATCACTGTCTGATGCTCAGTATTGAGCGGCCTGTTGTTTCGGTGTACGCATGTGTGTATTTGTTTGTTTTTAACTACAGCCAACCGCAGAAGTGTGTATAAGCTGGAGAAAGAGGAACAAATTCCGGATGGAATGTGTATTGATGCTGAGGGGAAGCTCTGGGTGGCCTGTTACAATGGAGGAAGAGTGATTCGTTTAGATCCTGAGACAGGTAAAAATAAAAAATAAAAAAAATCCCTGCCCTATCTAGAAAAAAACAGACACTAGCAACGGGAGAAACTACATTACTGACAAAGTTATACAGAGATATATTCAAAGGTCTCGGTAGGGTGATTTTGGAAATAAAGTCCAAACATATAGCCCCGAATTTACAGTCAGTCTTCCTTTCCTGCGGAGGTAAGTCTTTTGGGCCAACACAAATCATCAGGGAAGGTTAAGTCAAATACATGGCTGATATCTGACCTCCACTTTTTGACTCCTCTTTTTGGAATATCCCTAATCCTCTGCAAGGAGTCCAGAAAGGCTGTGCAGGTTGGAGATTTGCTGGAGCTAGACTTTCAATAAAATATTTGCTCCTCTAGGGAAAAGACTCCAAACTGTGAAGTTGCCTGTTGATAAAACAACATCATGCTGCTTCGGAGGGAAGGACTACTCTGAAATGTACGTGACATGTGCCCGGGATGGAATGGACGCGGAGAAACTTCTGCAGCAGCCTCAGGCTGGTGGGATCTTCAAGGTGATCTGGCTCTTTCTTTTATCTTGAGGGTGAGATTGGGGAGATCTTTGGCTAAGTAACTGAGCCATTAGTGCCTTTTCATACTTGTAAACATCATGCTAGACTTTTAAAAACATTTTATTCAGGGGCGCCTGGCTCAGTCGGTTGAGCGTCTGACTTCGGCTCAGGTCATGATCTCGAGGTTCATGAGTTTGAGCCCCGCGTCGGGCTTTCTGGCATCAGCATGGAGCCGGCTTTGGATCCTCTCTTTCTCTCTCTTTCTCTCTCTCTGCCCCTCCCCTGTTGCACTCTCTCTCTCTCAAAAATAAATCAACATTTAAGAAATAGCCTAAAAATTTTTTTATTTAGATTTTCTAGACTATAAGCCCAGGACGATGTGCTCAGCCTACTTTGTGGTGTACTTCAAAATATTTTGGGGCTTCAGTAGTGCTTGTTGAAATTCTATAAATTGGTAGAATGGGCTTGGAAAACCAGTGTTTGAAACATGTTTATAAGATCAATTGAGGGGAGCCTGCGTGGCTCAGTCAGTTAAGCGTCTGACTTCAGCTCAGGTCATGATCCCACAGTTCGCGAGTTCAAACCCCACTTTGGGTTCTGTGCTGTGACAGTTGAGAGCCTGGAGCCTGCTTTGTATTCTGTCTCCCTCTTTTTTCTGCCCCTTCTCCACTCATTCTCTCTCTCTCTCTCTCTCTTTCAAAAATAAATATACATCAAAAAATTTTTTAAAAAGATCAGGTGATTGTTTTGATGTCACAAAAATATCTTTGGGTTTCTTAACTTCTTTTTTGCAACAAAACAAACACTGGTAAAAGTCATAGACCTCTCAAGCTGAAAAGAAATAAGAAGATGGTAGAAATAAAATCAGGTATTTTTAAATTTTATTTTAGAGAGAGAGAAAGACCACGCACAAGCTGGTGAGAGGGGCAAACGGAGAAAGAGAGAGAGAGAGAGAGAGAGAGAGAGAGAATCTTAAGCAGGTTCCATGCTCAGCACAGAGCTCGACTCTGAGCTCGATCCCACAACCCCGGGGTCATGACCTGAGCCAAAATCAACAGTTGGACGCTCAACCAACTGAGGCACCCAGGTGCCCCAAATTCAGGTTTAAATACAAGTTAATTGTAGATGGTTGCCAGTTGGATTATTATCAATGGACCACCTAATCAAGTAATTCCTTTTTATGATAGGAAATAAAACAAGGATGATTGGTGGCTAAATAATAGTATTATGAATCACAAAACTGCTTTTAAAGAATACTTGGGAGTTATCTTTTAGCAAAGTTTCTCTCTTTTCTTTTTTTAACAGATAACTGGCCTGGGAGTCAAAGGAATTCCTCCCTATCCCTACGCAGGATGAAGACACAGAAAATTCTAGAGCTGAAATTTCTATGTAGTTACCAAAAAAATAAATGATGTGATTAACAGGGCTAACTTTTTATTTACAATTTTTTTAAGGTAGAGCATTTTAGTAAGGGGTGACAGGTAGTTTTGATAACACTACAAGGCCTTCTGAAAAGGTATTATAGAAATGTAGAGAATTGTTCAACTGTAAATTAACCTCTTGATTCTTTGCAAATAGCTAGAAGCGGAGTGGGGAGGGACCCTATCTGTTCTGTATTCCTTACCTGTTATACCTAAAGCTTCAAAAAATTAATAAATACTGGCCTGGTAATGACTTATTATGATTATATTCCTTTTTATTTTTATCATAATTTTATAAAATATACTGCAATGCTAACCTACCCTCATATTATTCTTCCTATATGCTATTTTTTACAAGCTAAAATATTCCTGGAGGTTAAGAATTAAACACTCTAGCAAAATCCATGCTTCCAACAGCCACCTAATAAATGTAAAAGTACTATATGACTTTATAGAAAGAATACCTTTATAATTTTTAATGTGTATTTATTTATTTATTTTAATGTTTTTAATGTTTATTTTTGAGAGAGGGACAGAATGTGAGTGGGGTAGGAGCAGAGGGAGAGAGGGACACAGAATCTGAAACAGGCTCCGGGCTCTGAGCTGTCAGCACAGAGCCCGATGCGGGCCTTGAACTTGCAAACCATTGGATCATGACCTGAGCTGAAGTTGGACACTTAACCGACTGAGCCACCCAGGTGCCCCTAGAAAGAATACGTTTTAAAAAAAAAAATAGCTTTATTGAGGGCGCCTGGATGGCTCCGTCGGTTGGACATCTGACTTTGACTCAGGTCGTGATCTCATGGTTCGTGAGTTCAAG